GTTTTGAGCCTTCAAATCAGAAACATAAACATGTTTTCACACACTCTCTTACACACACACACATACTGACACACATAAAAACACACTCACACACTGGCATACACAAATACACAGACATACAGATATCTATCTATCTATCTATCTATCTATCTATCTATCTCTATATATACTTACACAGACACACAGCCACACTCATACACATAGACACAGATACAAAAACACAGGCACATACACATGTGTATACGCTCGTTCAAACACATGCACATGCGTAAACACACACATGGGGCAAACTCGGTGAACAAAAGTGAAGGAGCTGGACCATCAGGTAAAAACGAAAAACAAAAGTTTTCGCTTTCTCCAAGACAGAAGAGGACTCGTAGGGTTATACTTTGAAGGATTCGCAACATCTTTGTTCTGTTCAAAGTCACTAGTGATCTCTAGTTCATGCTGCTCCACATGAGAGGGGGGACAGATTCCAGGCTTCTCTTCCTTTGATTCTGAGTCAGCAGCTCTGAGCGCTTGACCCTCACTTAGCATGTCGCTCACAGAAAGGGAACATTAGGTAATTAATTTGAGTTCTCAGAAATGTACTTGTAACCTTGAGGCGGGCCCATCCCATTCCAGGGAGCTCTCAGCCACGTCCTGCAACTTTGTGCCTGGCTCTAGGGTGGGATTCAGACTCTTTGATGTCCCTTTGCTCTGTTATTGTACAGGAAATATTTTTGATTCGTCATTTGTAATAGGCCATGTTATTTCTTAGTTGTATAAGGAGTCCATATGCAAGGAAATATTTATTTAAACAAGTAAATAATTTGGAGAGGAACTGATATTCAAATCATTAATATGTGCAGTTTGGGGGGATTAAAGAAAATAAACTACATCACGGGTGGCTATTTTGGTTCCAAGCAATGGAAAATTTAACTCAAACACATCAAGAATGCATTGGTTTATATAGGCACTTCTTTTTCTCTCCCCAATTTCCTCTCTGTTCTTTTTGCTGTACATTTCCTTCTAAGACCAGGCCTGGCCTTTGAGATTAGCCCTGAAGTCCTCCCGCTGACACCAGCAGTAAGGCACCTTCTCTCTCCTCTCCTAACAGGTCCACGAAGTGCAAATGAAAAGCCTGAGTGAGTCAGGGGAAAAGGAAAGGCAAACACAAAATAAACTGGCTGTCTATTTTCCCAGACAAGCTGGCTGTGTTATTTATTCATGTATACCTGTAATTATTTCTAAAACATCTCTATCGCTTTAAACGCAGCTTGTCCACGGGCATGCGCAGAGAGGCCCTGCGGAACCACAGTTTCGCGGAACGGTCTGTTAGGGGAGACGGGGGAAGTCGTTCCACGTGGAGCATCCTTTTCCTCACTTCTCGCGATGGTCAGAGTACTTGCTTGCGAGGACTTTTTCCTCTTCCGGGTTAGGTTACTGAGCTCCTGGCTCAGCCTTAAATGGATGGCGTGGCGAGGCGGCTGGTCCCTTGGGACCGGGGGAGCTTGTGCAGCCTGTCTGATGAGTCTTTTGTTGTTGCGGTCGTTGCATTTTTTTCAGCTCCAAAACTCCCATTTGGTTCTTCCTTATATCTTCTACTTTTGCTGAGACATTTTATGTCTTTGATGAGGCTTTCGTTTGAGGGGTAATAGTCAGTGCTCACTGGAGAATCTGACCACGGTGGCTGTCAGATAATTGTAACATCTCTATTATCTTGGCGTTGGCCCCCTGTTGTCTTTTTAAATTTGGTTTGAGGTCTAACATTTTCTTCGAGTGACAAGTGATTTTCTATTTAAACGTAGGTAGTTTATGTATTGCGTTAGGAGACTGTGGCCCTTATTTACATGTTCTGTTGGAACTGGCTTCCTTTGACACTACTTTACCACGGAAAGAAGGGAAATTCTGCCTTATTTCTGCCGGGCAAAGAAGTAAAAATTCGTGGTGCTCAGTTGGCCTCCACTCGCATCTAAGGGAAGAGTCCTATTAACTGGTGGGGAATGATGGAAGAAACTCTGCTCCTCGATGACTGAAGTGAGGCTGCATGTGGGTTCAGGAGGCCAGCTGCCCTTATCTCCGCCTGCCTTTATCCCAGTCCCTACTAGCCAGCGGCAGACCCCACAGCAGCCTGCACCTGTGTCCTGAGCTAGACCTGAAGAGGAGCCGGGCCAAAGAGACCAGATTCTCTGAAGGTCAGGATTGTGGGCACAGCAGAGAGTAAATGGGGGCAGTACCAGAGGAGAGGACCCCTTCAGATCCCAGGTGATCATAGCATTCTGTAATCGCGGTGCTGTCAGGGAGAGCAGTCTCCACCGCCTGCAACCTGTTCATTTTATATAGGCAGAAACTGAGTCCCAGAGATGGACAAGGAATTAGCCAAGGTAATGGAGTGTATTCTCTACAAAGCATTCAGAGTGATTTTTAAAAACAATTCAGATCACATTGCTCCCCTGCTCAGGGTTTCCCAATTGCTCTACCAGAAAAACATTTAAACGCCTACAACGTCCAATGTACCTGTCCTGTACCTGCCTACCCTGCCTCACCTCCCTCTACTCCTGCCCCCAGGGCCTGTCTGTTCCAAGTGTAACCAAGCATGGTTCATTCTGGCACCAGGCCTGTGGGCTTGCTGCTTCCTCTGGCCAGAAGGGAAAGTTTGTACAGATTTTCTCTCAAGTGAATTTTTTGTCAATTAGAATTCAGTTTAAGCATCACCTGTTTTTCAGATGCTTTCCTTGAACTCCAGTTAAACTAATAGTCCCCCCTCCATGACATTTTTATCTGCTTATCAGTCTCATTTAATCTTTTTTTTGTCTTTCCTAATCGGGCTGTGTGTAGTAGGCCCACAGAATATCAGGTCCTAATTCTGGAAACTTACATTTTACTTTATTATCCCTTTTGCCATATATGGAAAATGGTCTTTGCAGGTGTGATTAAGTTAAATATCTTGAGATGGCAAGGTTATATGGGTGGGCCCTACATGAAACCATAGTGTCCTTAAAAGTGTCTTTATAAGAGAGGGGAAGAGAGAGATTTGACACAGACTAACAAGGAGAGAGTGACCACAGAGAACGAGATTACATTTACGTCACTGTAAGTTGAGGAATGCCTACAGCCAACAGAAGCTTGAAGAGGCAAAAACCAGATTTCCCCCTACAGGCCCTGGAGAAAGCACAGTCCTTGCAACATTTTAATGGGGGCCCAGCAATACTGATTTCATATTCTGGCCTCCGTTACTATGAGATAATAAATTCCTTTTGCTTTAAGCCACCAAGGTTGTGGTTATTTGTTACAGCAGCCACCGCAAACGAATAAACCCTATATGTAATCAATGTCCCAAATGTGCAAACTATCTTCTTGGCCCCAAACCCATCAGATGATCCAGCTACGCCAGCCAAGCTCTGCCCAGCCCAGACCTGTTCCCCCTACTAGTTCAACAACTCTCCCTCCTTCATCCCTACCACTAACCATAAGCAACAGGCAGTCTTTTTCCAGGCAGGGTACAGAATAACTTACGTTCATCATCTACTAATCACCTCTATTTTCCAGATGAGATTTGGTGGCACAGAGAATTTCAGTAACTAACAGCCACAGGACCAGAAAATGGAAGGGATGCGAATCAATCCAGTTCTGTAGGAATCCTGAGTCCAAGCAGTTTTTCAGCATGTCTACTACTTTTAGGTAGATTTAGTCCTTTGGGAATGTGTTGCTTTCAGCATTAAAATATTAAGTGAGAATAATTATACCTTAGAAGGGTTTTGTAAAGATTAAATGAGATGCTACTTAATATGTATAATATATTTCCTGGCATTTACTAGGCTCCAATAACTTGGAAGAGGAGATGGCTCCCTTGTAGACACTGGCAGAGCTTTCAGGAGACAGAGATAATGAACGTGTAACCACATGGTGGGTGGCAGGAAGTTCCCATTACCTGGTTTTTGCATGCTCACATCCTAATCCAGGAAGAGGGGTAAAGTGGAGGGGTGGGGCAGGTTTGTTACTGAGTCCGGCGCTCTGAGCCACAAAAATTCTCAAAAAACAGACCCCAGACCTTTTCTCCAACAATAAGGCGATATATGTGCAGAGAAACCAATGGGACAGAGAAGGAAAGTGTTCACCAGGGCACTTTAAATCTACACTCTATGTGCTCCATTGTGGACTAAGAGCTAATGCGTCCTGCAAACATCTCGTGACAAGCAGAACTGAATTGTTTTCATTTTGTGGAGAGAGGGAGATTGGGAAAATGACTAAAAACAATCACTTTTTTTTTTTTTTGAGACAGAGTCTCACTTTGTTGCCCAGGCTAGAGTGAGTGCCGTGGCGTCAGCCTAGCTCACAGCAACCTCAAACTCCTGGGCTCAAGCAATCCTCCTGCCTCAGCCTCCCAAGTAGCTGGGACTACAGGCATGTGCCACCATGCCCGGCTTTTTTTTTGTATATATTAGTTGGCCAATTAATTTCTTTCTATTTATAGTAGAGACGGGGTCTCGCTCTTGCTCAGGCTGGTTTCGAACTCCTGACCTCGAGCAATCCACCCGCCTCGGCCTCCCAGAGAGCTAGGATTACAGGCGTGAGCCACCGCGCCCGGCCTAGAACAATCACTTTTAAAATATAAAAACTTCAACTATCCCCCCCAATCTTGTCACCTGTGATCATATTTTCTCCTCCCTTCTTCTATGGGAGCCCCAAGGAATGGCCAAAGCGGGGGGCCTTTTCTGCACACTGAGATCCACCTCCCAGCACATTTGCCAGCATGAACACTTCCTTTTCTGTCACCTAATTTTCCAGAAGGCACCTCTCTGGGTGGCCTCTGTAAGGCAAACTCACTTCCATTATCACCCCTCAGCCCTGGGGCACATTTCCACTTTCCCAGTGCATATAAGCAGTACTCAATCAACACTTTCTTAATTGACCAACGAAGAGAGGAAACAACAGCAAGGTAAATGAGCTCTGGTAGTTGGTGCAGCAAGAGGAACAAAACCAGAAAAAGATTGCCTGAGCCACCGCTCAGCTCAAACCTTAACTCTGGATCCACCTGTTCACCTCTGTCCATTCGCATCGTGCCGTGACAGGAATCCAGATCTCTGCAGGGCGCAGGATTCAGGTCCCCATCTGCAGAAGATTTAATTAAACTAATATGGGTAAAGAGATATTACCTGAGGTCAAGCGATGAGTTAGTCATACCTGGGTTCGGCACCTCATCCACCTGATGCCTTCTCACCTGTGCCACAATGTTACCATCATTTTCTTACTGTGCTCATATATCACAAGGGCTGTGCACCATCCGCTTAACCAGCATTGGTTAATTGAGTATGAAGTCTGTGTTTTGTGCTAGGAAAGCCCAGATAACTGAGACACAGCTTTCACTCTCTTAAGTGTCTCGGTTTTGAGGATTGCTTCAAGCATTTATATATTTGAAATCTGTTTATCATTTTCAAATATACTACATATCAAATCGGGCACACCAGATATGGAAGCAAAGCTCAAAATCAGTAGAGCTTATCTACCTTTCTGGTTGTCTGTCTGCTCCCACTTTTAGGTGAATGACTGCCAGTTGCTTTAAAACTTACTTCCTCTAAAATGGATGCTGGATTTCTAGCATCTGGGGAAATAATGTCTGTGTGTTTTCTTGACTTCAACTTTTTTTTTTCTGATTACAGAAGAAAATATTCTTTTAAAAGTTTCAATCACAAGGGGGAGAGAATAATATCCTCAAGGTGTGCCAATAAATAATCATGAAAAATATTCTTAGGCATGGTCTTGTTAGGCATCTTAAAAACAACAACAACAAAACCCTGTCTTGAAATTAGATTATGTGTTAGTGGTGGTCACCAGGGGATACAATGGTCCAGGGACCAGAGCTGTGTATTGTGGCAAGACGTGACAGTGTGACTAGCCTTCAAGGTCAGTGGCATGAGAACAGCTGCCAGCCCTCGTGCCCATACCCAAATCAAGTGAATTTGGGAATTCACTTCAGTTTACCTCCCTGCTTTGCTCCTGTTTCCAACTGTGGGTCTGTCTGTGCCCACATACATTAGAAGTTCATTAAAACAAAACAAAACAACAAATACACAAACAACAAAAAACCATCATCTGATTCTAACCAGAACCCCCTACAAAACTTGACGTGCTGCTCTCTCCAGAGTCCACTTTGGTGGGTGGCAGCTGTGCCATTCAAAAAGCTACCAGTATGGCTAATGCAGCTTTTGGCTCCAACCTACGTAGTGAATGCGAGCGAAGCCCATTTTGCTCTCTATGGGCATTTCAAAGCGATGCCAGAGCAGGTCACCATCCCTGCCTCCATGCTGAATTAATAGCAATAACATGTAAGAAGATGTCACTTTTTCTTAGCAGGAAGACAATCTGCTCCATCATCACCCTTGATCCCTGGCGCCCTTCCCATCTGTCTACGTGTTGGATTTTTCCATGTATAACTCTGCCTCTGGCTGGATAGGTTTTGAGAAGCCCCCCCCCCGCCCCCCAGGAGACAAGGAGACAAGACGCCCACATCAGTGAGGAATATGCCCAGAAGCTGTGCTACTAACTGTCAAGTGCCTCGCTTTGAATCTTGTAGAATTTAATTTAAATTGACAGGTGATTTGGCAGATATGGGGAGAGGAAAATGAGCAAACAGTGGCCTCTACTTCATTTCAGCCAATAATTGAAGCATAAAACCTTCCATCAACATTTACCAAAATCTTTGTCTTTGCCATTTTTGACTGTATAATCCAAACAGCACATGTGTCGGTATAGTGCCATGTATGGCAATTATTCAATCACAGAGTGGATTAGTGTGTAACAAGCTAGAAATTAAAGGATAAAATTGTAAAATGAAAGAATTTCATTGTGGTTCAGAAGTGAGTTGGATATGTGTTACGGGTATCACATATCCGTATAAAATTGTAAAATGAAAGAATAGGGATAAAATTGTAAAATGTAAGAATAAAATTGTAAAATCAAAGAACTTCATTGTGGTTCAGAAGTGAGTTGGATATGTGTTACTGGTATCCATGCATTTCAGGGAAAAATTAAAATATTAGTTGAACTCCATCAAGAACTTAACTTTCTACTTTTATCAAGTCTTTCATACTTCTGTGAACATTTTTCAACACTTGGGTTATTTTTTCAAGCCCCAAATTTGTAGACTGTGTTTACCACAATACATAAAAAAAAATCATTCTGTTTACGGAAAATGACAATTGTAACTGAAAATAAGAAACTTCTAGCATGGTTTTCATTGTAGTCTGATATAGCATTGTGAATCTATGTCATTCACATCTAGTAGTTAGTGAGAAATGATTTTGCATGTCTTTGAAGTAAAAAATCTTTTATCTCTGGAGTTTAATTGAAAGACTACCAGAATAAAAAGTGTCAAACGTGGAGCTGGTAGATGCTACTAGATGGAACGCTGATGAAGATGCATTTGAGGCATGTTGCAGATGGCATTAAACGACTCACTTTCGTCAAGAGGAGAGGAGATCAGACAGGAGAAAAGGCTTTGTGCCTTTCTACCCAGGAGATCTTTAGAGTCAATTATCTTTTTACAGATAATTATTCACATTTACACACATCCCTACCTCTGCTCCCGTGACTGGCTCTAAAGAATTTCTTACTACCAATAAATGCCTCACAGAGTGAATTGCTAACTCAGTTCATGGAAACATGAATCTGCTCTGAGGGTCCCTGGGCATCCTGTGTGCTTACTGGGGTCTTCCCCCACCCCCCTACAGTGTGACCTGCAGCCCCCAAGCAGGGTGGGGTCCGCCTGAAACCAGCAGACAAGTGGACCATTTCCTGTGTTCGCCTCCCAGAGGGAACTGGAGAAAGAGGCTTTATTTGCCAATGAAGTCGTGAGGGTCAATAAGATATGGTATTAGGAATTCGGTCTCTGATATTAAAATTATGTGACTGTAACCTGTAACTAGTTCTTAGTGCTGTAACTTTGAGAAAGTTTCTTGTCTCTCTTAGGCTTAAATTTTCTCGTCTGTGACAGCACAATGCTGGACACTGGGGTCACTGAGCTGACTGGGATAAACACAGCCCCTGCCCTCTGAGAGGTTCATTTTGGGGGTGCGGAGACTTCAATAAGCAAGTAAACCATGATATTTCAGATGGCAGCAAATGTTATTGCAAACATAAACCTGGGACGATAGTGTCTATTAGAAAAGATCCTCAGGGAAGGTCTCTCTAAGGAGAAAAACCTGAATGATGAATTAAAGTCAGCTGTGGAATGACCTAGGAAGAAAAGCCCATAAGCAGACGAAACACGTGCAAAGGCCCTGAGGTTGTAGCTAGCTACCACAGTCACTGATCTGCAGGCTTATACAGAAGGTGCCAAGCATACATTATCTCATGCAGTTGTTCCAGCACCAGATGAGACAGATGTACTTTTATCTCCATTTTACTGATGAAGAAACTGAGGAATAGGAAGGTTAATAACTTCCCCATAAGTAGGGAAATAGGAATTCAATTTAGATAGTAAGTCTTCTTTCTAGAACCCGCATGCTGAATTGCTCAGCTGTGCAGGTCAGCTCTGCATTCTGGTTACACTGGTTTCCTGCCAGTCTGGTGATGCCCCCTACTGACCCCAGGCTACCTCTGCCCTTACTCTCTTTACCTTGGTCATTCTTGCTCCATGTCTGGCCACCCCCATGAAACCCACTAGTTCTGATCTGTATTAACATGACCTTGGACACCAGAGGGCCTACCACTGGGGAACAAAACAGAGGTGGGCACAGAATTCAGTAAAGGATGTATCTAACATTCATACAGGAATTTCCCCAAGCAATAAATAGGAGCTATTTCTGTGTTTCTGTTCTGCGTCCATTGTGTTCCTCCCTTCACTCCATGCATGAAGACTGCAGTTAACATTTTATAAAGAATCACTGTGCCATATCCATTCGAACCCCTTTTTCCTCTAAACCACACAAAGGCTAAAATGTAAAAATAGCTGTTAAATCTTTCATTATTCCTGATACTTGGAAAAGGGTTTTGTATAATCCAGTCTGGCTGTGTATAAATTGTCCCTGTCCCCGCTCAGTCGTGCCATGTCTGGAGCAGGGAATATTGGATACGACCCACTAATCGCTCATTAACAAGCACATACCGGTTGTGATACAAAGAGCTTTTAAAGTGGATTAATTGAAAGGTATCGCTGAATGAGCTAGAGGATTGCAGCTAATGATGGTGAAAAAGCACTCTAAACAATGCATGGTGACTGATGAAACTAAATAGCATAATAAATACCACTGCTGACATTTTGATAGGAAAAGTCACCAGGCAGAGGCCATCCTCATTTCTCAAAGTGGAAGCAGCACAGAGGAGATATTTAAGGTGGAGATACAACAGAGTGATCTAATTCTGGTTTGCTCTGAGTCCAGAAATGCAGGCTTTCGGGGTCCTGATAAAACGTGTTGGGGGACACAGCCAGGGTCCCAGTCAAGTCTGTCCCTAAACCCCCTTCCTGGTCCCCGAGTCTTGCGCGGTTGGTAGAGGTATTCTTAGCCTTGTAGCCTCTCACACATGTTCCACGTCTGGAATTGTCTTCCAGGGAACAGAAGCCTGAAAACCTGTGGTGACTTCTTAGGGTCTCTTTAATCTCCTGGAGTCTGGCCCGAGGCTCCTTATCAATGTCTTAGATCTCTTCGGTACTCATGGAAGATTTTGGGTTTGCTTTTATATTTGTTTTTTGTTTGCATTTATTTCCATCTGTTTTCTTTCTAGTTATCTTCAGCGGGATTTTGGCTTTCCCAGAATTATGGTTACACAAGTCAGGTCACTCATTGCTCTTTTATTAAGTGCTTCTTGATTTCTTATAAAGTGAGCAGTCATCCATGTGCTTCCTGGCCATGTTGCTTATTTTCAGATAATCATATTTTGGAATATGCCTCCACGTTGAAATTTAAAAATCCAGATGTATATTCTAAACTACCTCCATACTCAAGTCTGGGTTAGTACAGACATATAAAATATTTTGGCTATGATAGTGATGTCTGTAAAATATAAATCCAAGCTCCTTTCAGCAATGACAGGAATAATAAAAAGGCCAGCCAGTCCTCTGCCTTAAATATTTTTTCTATGGTCCCTACAGATGCCACCTGCTCCTGAAGTGG